AAAAAAAAAAAAAAAAAAAAACTTTTTCTCCTAACCCATTCTAACTTGAAATCACCCCAGATACCTTTGTAAAAATTGGATCAACCATATCTGGACGGTTCAACCCGGCAACCCGATGGGTCGGGCTCGGCTCTGAATTTCTAACTCTTTTACATAACCGGGTTGGGTCAGGTCTACTCGTTCATGAAGAATCCGTAAAACAGAGGTTAGAAAGATCAAATAAAACTGAATCAGTAAGAACTGGCTTAAGGATTAGTGAAGCTTCATTTCACTGAATGAATCATTTGTTCTCCAGGTACATGTATATATATTAGAAGAGGAAATCATAACAAAGGGTGCAGATGAGGCCGTTAGCTGCTGATGGTGAGAGGCACAGAGGTAGTGTCCGTTTGGTGCTGATAGTGAGAGGCACAAAAGTAGTGGTCGTTGGCTGCTGATGATGAGAGGCACAGAGGTCCGTTGGCTGAAATGAGTATATTTCCTTTTATAGTTAATGGTCCATATCTGCTATGCTATCAGCCCCCCGCAAGCTTATGATGAATTGTAAGTTTGTCTCTGAGTACTTTAAAGCAAGCAAGTTGTAATTGTTTGGTGAGTATGTCAGCAGGTTGGTCCAAGGAACTGATGTGCTGAACTTCAATTTCTTTGGATAAAATGCGTTCTCGAATAAAGTGATAATCTATTTCTATGTGTTTCGTTCGAGCATGAAACACAGGGTTATTAGCATGGGCCAGTGCTGATGTGTTATCACATGATTGAACAGTAGGAGAGCATTGGTCAGCATAAAAATCCGACAGTAATCTTCTCAGCCAAATGATGTCGGAGGTTGCTGAAGCAAGGGACCTATATTTCGCCTCCGTGGAGGATTTGGCAACAGTAACTTGCTTCTTTACTTTCCAGGAAACTAAGGAATTGCCGACGAAGGTACAAAATTATGATATTGACTTTTTATTTCTTTTGTCTGCTGCCCAATCAGAATAAGAGTAAGAGTGTAGCTGAAGTGTACCACGAGTGATTGGGAGGCCGAAGTGATGAGTGCCTTGGATATACCGTAAAAGTTGTTTAAGAATACTAAAGTCTTGCTCAGTGGGATGATGCATATGTTGGCAGATGATGTTTGTAGTATAAGCAATATCCGGTCTTGTTATAGTTAAATACTGTAAGGAACCTACTAGCTTACGGTATTGCATGGAATCAGAGTGAAGAAAGTTGCTGAGTGCTGAAGGAGGTTTGACTGCTATAGGAGATTGGGATGGTTTGCATCCACGAGACCTGCAGCCTGAACGAGATCTTGAGCATATTGTGATTGGCTTAGAAAATAGCCATTGGGTGTGTGTAGCACCTGAATTCCCAAGAAAAAGGAAATTGATCCGAGGTCTTTGAGGGAGAATTGTGATTGCAGCTTGAGGATGAAATCCGAAATGCTAGATTTGTTGTTGCCCGAGATTAGTATGTCATCTATATGCATAAGAATGTAGATTTGTATGTCTTGGTTCTTGAAGAATAACAGCAAAGGGTCAGACTTGCTGAATATGAATCCAACTGATTGAAGGAAGGCTGTGAATGTATGGAACCATTGACGAGGGGCCTATTTCAGGCCATATATGATTTTGTGTAATTTACAAACATACTCAAGATGGTTTTCATCAACAAATCCTGGAGGTTGTTTCATGTAGACTTCCTCTTGCAAATTTTCATGTAAGAAGGCATTTGCGATGTCTAATTGGAATATCGACCAATTCCGGTGAAGGGCAATGTTAAGCATGAAGTGTATGGTTGGCATTTTTGCAACTGGACTAAAGGTCTCCTTATAATCAATGCCAAACTCTTGATTAAAACCTTTTGCAGCAAGTCTGGCTTTGTATCTGTTAAGAGTTCCGTCAGATTTTAGCTTGGTGCAAAACGTCCATTGGCAACCAAGTATGGTGCGGTTGGGAGGAGGTGGAACTAGGGACCAAGTGCCCTGTTTTTGAAGCGCAGTGAATTCCTCAGACATGGCAGTTCTCCAAGAGTTGGATTTGATGGCTTGACTGAAATAAGTAGGGGTTAAGGGTGTTTGCTGGGTGGCAAGTAGATTAAATGTCTCTCTTGGTTTGAGATGGCAAGTTTTATATCTTGTGAGCATGGGGTGTGAGGGTGGAAGTGGGTTGGAAGTGGAATGAGGAATGGTAGAGATAGGTGAGTTGTCTGTTTGAGAGTTGGAGGGGGATGCTGTGGATGAAGTAGTGGAAGTAGTAGGAAAATTTGTGTGAACAACTGAAGGTTGAGTGTTGGTGGAAATAAGAGGTGGATCTGTGGAGGTGGGAAGTTTTGGAGGTATGGTGGAGATGGGTATGAGAGAAAGGGGTGAGGTGTTAGATTTAGATGGAACCTCAGAAGTGGTTGAAGCTTGAGTAGGATAGGGAAAGGTGTCCTCGTGAAAAATGACATGGCGAAAAATATGTATTTTTCCTGTTTGAAGGTTTAGACATCTGTAGCCATTGTGAGAGGAGGAATAGCTGACGAAAATACATGGTGTAGATCGCAGATGAAGTTTAGTTGAGGATAGTGGTTGAAGCCAAGGATAACAAAGGCATCCAAAGGTCTTAAGGTGAGTGTAATATGGTTGAGTTTTATGAAGTAGATGATAAGGAGTATCAAGACCAAGAGTTTTGGATGGAAGATGATTAATAAGATAGTTTGCAGTTAGTAGGGCTTCCATAAAAAATTTGAGAGGTAGGTTGGCAGCATGAAGAAAAGTGCGAGTAGTTTCGATAAGGTGATGATGTTTCCTTTCCGCGGTGCCGTTTTGTTTGGTTGTGTAGGGACAACTCATTTCGTGGTGAATGCCATTGCGTGATAAGAAATTTTTGAAGTCTGTAGATTGGTATTCACCTCCACCAATTGATTGGAATGTTTTAATGGTGGCATTAAATTATGTTTGAACGTAGTGGCATTAAATTTGGTTTGAACGAGCTGTAGAAAATGTTGAAGTTTGAGAAATGTCTCAGCTATAGTATGCATTGGATAAAGCCATGTAAAACGAGTGTGATCATCGATAAACAACACATAATAGACATAACCATTTATAGAGGAGATGGGAGCAGGACCCCAAACATCAGAATGAACCAAAGCAAACAGAACTGTAGATTTCATGCATTGGAATTGAAAGATAGTTTGTGGCTTTTAGCCACATTATAGGAGTTACATAAAAAGGAAGAGGAATTTGAAATACATATAGAAAGTGTTGTTCTAGCTAAGTACTGTAGTAGTTAAAAATGGGGGTGACCCAACCGAGCATGCCAGTAGGAAGTTGATGTCTTTGCCGTATGAAGAGCTAAAGTGGATGAAGAGGGGATGATGTATAGACCGTCTTGGCTTCGGCCTTTAAAGAGTAAATGATTGGTCTGATTGTTCTTGATGATGAAACCAGAAGTGTCAAAACAGATTGAGCAATTATTATCAGTTGTGAGTTTTTGAATGGATAGTAAATTATGAGTAAGGGATGGAACATGTAGAAGTTTATGTTAAAATAGCTTACGTGGAGTGTTGGGAGCGGAAGAAGGCCTTGGCTCGTGGATTGGATCGAGAGTGAGGTGCCATTAGCTATAGAAATGTAGTCATTTCCTGTATATGACTGAGGATGTTGTAGCTGTAAAGGGTCAGGAGTAAGGAGAGAGGAAGCCCTTGAGTCCAAATACCAATCAGTTGGAGAACTTGACTATTGAGATGTGAAGAAGCTGTGTTGGGGAGTAGACATGGTGGGAACTTATTGGAGATTTGTACGATGCCAGCACTGGGCAGTAGAGTGACCAACTTTGTTGCATAATTGACAGGTGACTCGTGGGGTAGAAGGATTGCGCGATGGACGTGAAGTGTTAAAGAACCATGATGATGGTGCTCTGTTTGAAGCAGAGAATTTTCCACGGTTTGATCTGGCTTGTTCAGCATTGGAGTTTTTGTTTGCTGAAATTTTAAGAGCAACCATTGCAGTAGAGTCTGGCGGAGCAGCAGCTTCTTTGGAGTGATCATTTTGAATGTTTATCTCCTCGCTCAATAATAGAGAGTAGAGTTCATCCAACATAATAGCAGAAGGTCGAGTGCGTATAGCAATCTTGAAAGCATTGTAGGAAGATGACAGGCCATTCAAAATGTGTAGAATGATATCTTCTTGCTCCACATGAGACCCGGTGGCTGCAATGTTGTCTACCAATGCCTTTACATGAGCCAAATACTGGATGACAGTGAGATCCTACATATCAAAATGATACAACTCATTCTTGAGTTGAATAACTCTTGACCGATTTATTGGTTGCAGACGCTTTTCGAGCGTGTCCCATATCTCGTGAGTGGTTTGTAAAGTTAAGACATATGGAAGGATATTCGATGAGATTGTGGAATATAATGCTGCAGCAAGGTTTTGGTCTGTTAATTGCCACATTTAATATTTTGGATTGGGAGTAATATATCCGATGGAGGAGGAGATAAGTTTTGGTGGGAAGATATGAGAGCCAGTGAGAAAACCTTCAAATCCGTTTGCAGAGAAAATCTTGAGTACCTGAAGTTTCCAAATGGCATGATTATCACTGTTGAGTTGAATATTGACAATGTGCTTTATGTTGGAAATGATAAACTTTAGCTGTGCTGGAATGGTGAAGTTCCCTTTTATAAGTGAAGTGGAAGAAGATTGAGGAGATGAGGACATTTGGCTGTCTCCCATGGGAAGAAGCTGCTCTGACAATCAGGCCTGGAGCTCTGATACCATGAAGAATCTGTAAAACAGAGGTTAGAAAGATTAAATAAAATTGAATCAGTAAGAACTGGCTTAAGGATTAGTGAAGCTTCATTTCACTGAATGAATCATTTGTTCTCCAGGCACATGTATATATATTAGAAGAGGAAATCATAACAAAGGGTGCAGATGATGCCGTTGGATGCTGATGGTGAGAGGCACAGAGGTAGTGGTCGTTTGGCTGCTGATAGTGAGAGGCACAAAGGTAGTGGACATTGGCTGTTGATGGTGAGAGGCACAGAGGTCCGTTGGCTGAAATGAGTATATTTCCTTTTATAGTTAATGGTCCATATATGCTATGCTAACAGTTCCAACCCGGGTCAGTTCCGGGTTCGACTTGAACTCGATTCAAAACCCGGTTTTGACACCCCTACTTCACTTATTTTGTATTAATATTTTCTACTAACATCTTGTAGCATGGTGATAATATTTCTAGTTTAGTGGTTAGATCCAAAATATTTTGAAAATAATAAAAAATAGCCCAATTTGCCACTCTCTTTAGCACATATAAATAAAAAATTTAATTAAATTCCATATGACTTACTTAATGATAGAGCTCCAAATTTATGTCAATTACATATTTTTAGGATAAAATTCCACACGAATTATTTAATAGAGGAACTCCAAATTTATGCCACCAAAATTTTAATAAAGTTCCATATGAATTACTTAATGGAAGAACTCCAAATTTATGTCAATTACGTTATGCTACAAATGTATTATGTTTAATAATGAAAAATCAAGTTTGGGCAAATTTGTTGTGAAATTAGATGAGGCGCTATTTTTAGGATTCTCTTCAGTTAAAAAGTTTTATAGAGTATTTAATAAGGGAATCTTGATAGTTGCGGAATCACACAAATTACATTTAGGCTTCGTTTGGGACAGTTTTTTTATTGCTTTTTGAATAAACTTTTTATTATAAAAACTAAATTTTTTGTACTAAAAAGCTGCTTTATGAAGCAGTAAAAAAGCCGTCCCAAACAAAGTCTTAATGAATCAAATTAATTAAGTGAACCAACATAAGTAGATCAAGAAGACAATGAGTTTCCAAATATTGAAAAGTAGTGTCTTAAATAGAAGAAAGTAGGGGCATTACATAGAGAGGAGAAAAAAACATTTAATCATCCTAGGCGTCAAATTATTGAAGATTCTTTTAGTTGTTAGGATTATTAATGTATTAAGATAGGAGGTGAATCACACTACACTATACTCATTAGGTAATCCAACTATAGTTGAAGATTCATTATCAAATGAATTTAGTGAAGGCTAAGCAAGAAGAACAAATTTTATTTAACCAAAATCATGTGTGAAAACTAATATCTAAACTAGTTGATGAGAGTGAGATAAGAACAAAATGAGTTTTAAAAGTAAATTAAGCCATTTTGGATTCATTATTCGAAATAAGGTAATTTAGTAGATAAAGTGTCTAATTAAGTAGAAGGAATGTGTGGGGATTCTAGTGAGAGAGAGTCCGGGTTTCTAGTGAGAGAAAACTCCTTTTTTCGGTTTGAATTTGTTCTCCCGCGGATTTGCTTCCGGCCGGTGGCGCCGTCGTCGGAATATCATCGGCATTCTTGGCCGATGTCATGGAAGGTCTGCGCCCCTCCATTCCTCTTCGATTGGGTGGTAGAGGTAGAGGCGGTCTGGTAATCAGAGAAGGAGCGCGATCGGTGATTCATCCAATGGTGATTGAAGGTAAAGGCAAGAAGATCTTGAATGAAGGTTCTTCTAGGAGGAATGCTGCGGAAAGAGTATAAATTGATAGGGATTGTATTCTTGGCAATCTTGAATCGTCGGTGATGAAGGATACTATCTTGAAGGTAAAGAGTTTTTTTGGGAAGAATCAGACTCGTCCTGTTCAGGATGATTTGGATCTCATTCAAATCCCTAAGGATGACGGAGTGAATGGAAATGGAAATGTCCCAGATAAGGATTTATTGAATGATATTTTGAGTTCTAATGGGCAAGGCGATGTTGGTGAGGTAATTGGAGCTTGGTCGAAGCCGAAACATATTAGAATTGATTTTAAAAATGAGCAAGTTGAACTCTCTGATGATGGTATTGCCGTGAAGCCAATCCAATTCTGGAATCCAAAAATTTAGATGTGCTGATAAATTCGACTGTAATCAAAGTTCTAGGAGGCAATGTGCCTTACTCTGTTTGCAGCTTTGATTTGAGAAAGCAATGGAACAAATTTGGTGGATTTCATATGACTTCAATTGGTATGAATTGGATACTCTGCTCCTTCAAAGCAAATGAGGCGGTGGATGAAGTTTTAAATGGTAGACCCTGGTATGTTAATGGATACATTGTCGGCATGGAAAGATGGTCTCCGGCCTTTGATCTCTATTCATTTAAAGGGATTTCAGCTTCGGTGTGGATAAGACTCCCGTGTTTTCCTCTGTTCTATTGGGACGAGGATAGTCTCGCAAGAATTGCTTCTCGGTTTGGCACACCATTGTATTTAGATGGAAATACCTTTCGGTGGGGAAAGAGAGAGTTCGCCCGCATCTGTGTCAAGATCGACTTGGAAAATAAACTCCCAAATGGTGTCTGGATTGATGGTCTTGCAGGTAGATTCTTCCAATGGGTTGAGTATGAGAAGATCAATTTGCTTTGTTATCATTGCGGCCGAGCGGGGC